ACCAGTGAGCACAGGATGGTCAGGGAGAGGTCTCTGGAAGGACCCAGGCTCCTCGGAGACCTGCCTGCCTCAGGAGGACAGGAAACACACGGGAACCGGGCGCCCCCTGTGGTGCCGGGAAGTAGGGGAGTGCTCAGAACACGGTGGGGCAGGTCGAGGGCAGGGTGCCAGCTTGCGATTGCTCCCAGGGGCCAAGTTGGGGTTACCAAATGCATCCAATTAGCTGGAAACAAATAGCGAATGTTAGCAAATGATGTACTTTTAAAAAGCTTTTTATTAAAGTTATTTATTTTTATGAGTTGATTATAGTCCTTTTTATAGACTCTTGGGAATTGCCTAATAATTTACAACAGAAACAAGATGTTCTATCTCGTATGCTTTGTGACCATATTTTCACAACAAAGATGTGAGTACATTTATAGGGGTTTTTGAAATTAGAATGGTTAAGAAATATCTAGGATATATGGTTGATATATACGTACATACGTGTGTATGTCCACATGTGCGTGCATGCATGCGTGCGTACACACACACACACACACACACACACACACACACACACACACAGAGTGGCAGTTCCGCATTTGGTCACCAGGGGGCACTTTGCCCATGCAAGGAAGCTGATGAACACCAGGGTAAAAGGTCAAAGAGAAACTAGCTCAGTAGCACACAGAGCCTTGATTGGCAACACCCAGGGCGCCCATTGAATGAGTTCATCTGGCTGAACCCACACTGGACTCCCATCCTGGGCTTGAGGTGTTTGGGATTTAAATGATCTGAGATTCCGGCTTATTTCAGTACAGACACTGCAGGCCAGTCCAGGGAGGGCGCTGTGCCTGCATGCGGGCCACCAGATGTGTGCCGTCAGAGTTCTGCCCCTTGCAGACGAACTGCTGGCCCACCACTGAACCCCAGGCCTGGTAGGGCACAGCGAGCGTGTGCAGTGATTGGGTAGATGCCTTGGTCCTTTGAAAACAACTTAGAGGAGAAACTGCTGTCTGTCAGTAACATGTGTCCCAGCATCCTGGGCGGAAGGCGAGCAGCCACGCTCCCACCAGGCTGCGCAATGGCCTTGACCATCGTCATCCCGAGTGTCCCTGTGTCTTCTGCAGGTGCCGTTAGGGCTTACAGACAAGGACTTTGTCATGCCGCGCTCCAAGAAAGCTTTGCTCTGACAAGACCTTAGATGCTCCTGTTAACACTGCGGAGTGTAACATTAGGATGCCTTGTATGTTCTGCTGCCTAAGCATAAGGGTGTCCTCAGAGAATTCAGACTAGCTTGCAGAACCTGAGCACGTGACTGTTGAACTGTCAGGCTCTCCACACTCTACTCGGGTTTCTGGAACATTCCAGGGTCAGAACAACCTGTAGACCGGCTCCACAGCAGCCAAGGCAGCTACAACAGAAAGAGCGTGGCTTCTGGATCGAAATCCTGGCTCTGCTACTCGTTAGTCCTGGGACCTTCGCTAATTACATGAATCCTTTGAGTCTCAGCTTCTTTTTATTTTTTAATTCTCACTTGAGGACATTTTTGCATCTTTAGATGGGGGGGGAGTGAGAAACATCCATGTGAGAGACACACATTGAGTGGCTGCCACCCACATGACCCCAATCGGGGCAAGGACAAACTGCAACCGAGGTACGTGCCCTTAGCGGGAACCGAACCCGGGACTCGCTGGTCCACAGGCTGATGCTCCAACCACTGAGCCAAACCGGCCAGGGCGAGTCTCAGCTTCTTTGTAAGCAGAACGAGGATGTTGATACTGACAGTTTTCATTTATTTGGTCAACCAGCATATTTCTGAGTTCCTCCTGCATGTCCGGTGTCCTCCAGGAACTTAGAGTGCGGTGGGCATGGCAGACACGTTTGTTCATGCTGAGGAGGCTAAATAAGGATGTGTCCTAACTGGAGATGGATGGTGGTGAGGGCAGCATGACATGTGAATGTACTTAATGCCACCAAACAGTGTGCTTAAGATGGTCAGGGTGACAAATTTTATGCTATGTGTATTTTACCATAATTAAATAAAGCAAATGGGAAAAAAAAAAAATGTAGATCTAAAGAACCTAGCATCATGCCTAGCACATAGTAGGTGCTCGGTAGACAACTTACTAACTTCGGGAGCAAGTGGAGAGCGGAGACCAGCTAGAGTCTTCCTCAGGGAGGCAAGCGCCCTGGCACTTCCAGGCCCGTCACTGGGAAGAAGTAGCCTTTTCTGCTGTGGGCACAGCCTGCCCCCGGCCCCCTCGTGGAGGGGGACCCTCAGGCCCTCTGCCACACGCCCCGACTTCCTGCGCCGAGCTCAATACAGACTTGTGGGGTGTGTTCCCGCTTCTCAGACATCCTTCTGGAGTAAATAAACTCAGCGGCTCATGACCTAGATGCAGCTTCTAGAAACCCATTTCATTTTTCACAGTGAAAGCAGCCTTTAGGTGAAGACTAGTGGACAAAGAAGGAAATGTGGTTTGCTCAGGGACTCAGGGACTTTTATGACAGAAAATTGAGGCGCGGGTGATATTCTAAATGGAATACAAAGAGCACCCGGTGTTTTGGTTGTTTTTTGTTTTGTGTTTTCCTTTTGTTGGTGTGGAAGAAAAAGGGCGAAGAGTGAAGGAAGAACCAGTCTTTTTTTTTTTTTTTAACTCAAGGAGTTATGGCTCACTCCCACGTACCCGTGCAAATGTATATGATTAACTTGCTACTCCAGAAAAATATTTTAATCCCAAAGTCATTTATTTTGGCTTTAGATTAGACTAGCATTTGTGTCGGATTTTCCTGCCTAATTACTTTTTGCTTAAGCTTATTTTAAAATTGTTTTAAATTCCTTCAGTGTGGCAGCCAGGACAGGGGTGAGGGGAAGAAACGGGCCACAAGAGGGGTCCGAGCCAGGATGTCGTCTCCTGCCTAAGGCCTCCCGGTGCACGGCTGGTGGGAGAGAAAATTGGAAGCAGCTTTCTAGAGAACAATTTGGCAAAAATATTTTTAAAAGTCTTAAAAACATGCTTACTCTTTGATCCAGTAACTCCGCGTCTAGGAATTCGTCCTGAGGAAGTAATCAAACGATCAGGCAGGAGCGTAGGAACAAGGCACTCAGCACCACATTCATATCAGCAGGAAAAAAGGGAAAAGCAGCCTAAAACATGGAAGAATATAGACTTCACGAAATCAAGTATGCTCGCGTGCGTGGTCATGTTGTCAAGTTACAGACTTTAAAAATGTTCGCCATGTCTTTCTAAGTGAAAAAGAGCCTGTGAAATAGTTGGAGCGGTTTGCAATAGCAGTAGATGCAGCGATAGTTGGCCGGCGGGCGGGCAGGCGGCTGCCTTGCAGGGAAGACACTGTGCAGTGTTAACTTTGGTGGTGTTGGGTAGTGAAATGATGGCTGGTTTTGTACTTTTTTTGTGTTTTTCAAGTTTTCTGCTTGAGTATGTGTTACTTTGTAATTAGAAAAATCAACTATCTCGTCGTTGTATTCTTATTTTTCATAATTGGTTTCAGAGAGAGAGGAAAGGAGAAAAAGAGATAGAAACATCGATGAGAGAGAACATGGACTGGCTGCCTCCTGCGTGCCGCCCACTGGGGATCGGGCCCACCACCTGGGCATGTGCCCTGACTGGGAATCGAACTGGTGACCTCTTGGTGCACGGGTCGGCGCTCAACTACTGAGCCACACCAGCGGGGCTCAAGTATCTTGTATTTTAAAACAATACATGTTTTGCCCTGGCCGGTTTGGCTCAGCGGTAGAGCATCAGCCTGAGGGCCAATGAATCCCAGGTTCGATGCCAGCCAAGGGCACGTTATCGGTTGTGGGTCATCCCCGGCCCTGGTCAGGGTCATGCAGGAGTCAGCCAGTCAATGTGTCCCTCTCACGTTGATGTTTCTCTCTCAATCCCTTTCTCTCTCTCTCTCTCAACCTGAAGATAAATAGAAAAACACCCTCAGGTGAGGATTTTTTAAAAAATAAATAAATAGAAGAATACATGTTTCATGTACCAATGAAAAAAAAATAAAATGTTGCCATTCAGCACCCACCGTGTGGGTAATTTGGATGCACACCTGACAATTTAGATTGAACATATTTTCTTAAGGGTCACCTTCACATACTTGAATTATCAGCAATCATATCGGAGTCATGAAATCAGACGTACCGTAGGCTATGTTTTCCGAGGGAAAGAAGCACCTTCCGCGAGAATCCGTGAAGGCACAGGCAGGGGGTAACGTGCGTGCCGGTTTCGGGAGCCGGCTTCCTCTGTAAAACCAGCACAAAACACTTGGCACAGCTACACAGACTAGTCGGCTTTCTGTGAATTATATGCAAAGATTGCTTATTGCCCACAAAACATGAGAACAATACTGGGAACATTTCAAAATCATTCTTAATCTTCTAAAAGCAGTTCCCAGTCAAAGGTGTTACTGTTCCTCCTTATCTCCTCATTATCGTCAGCTCAGAAACCAAGAGGGAAAATGGAAGGTAAATGCTGGGCAGCCTCAAACTGGATGACCCCAGAGAGCGCGCGCTCACATTCGAAGGCCTCTGCTGCCTCTGATCTGCTGATCTGCCCAGGGCAATGTGCTCTTTGCCCACGGCCCGGAGCTGGGGGGTCTCCTTTGTTCGAAGTTCCTGAGTTCCTGAGACACCTGTGGCCTCACTGGCTCCCTGTCGTCCAAGGTCAGATGGAAAAGCCTTTTGTGATTAACTGAGCCACGGTGTGTCCTTTGGTATTTGGAACTGCAGTCGGCGTTTTTATTACTTACCCACATTTTGAACGCTGACTCAGATAAGCTTCATAGAATGGAAAGAGCAGAGAAATCGAGCTCTTTTGACGCCAAGTCGAATCCCAGTTCTGCTGGCTGTGACCTTGAGCAGCCACTCGCTGTGGCGGCTCAGTAGTTAGGAGACTGGTGTCTGCCCATCTCACCTCCTGTGAGGCCCAGTGCCAGCGAGGGTCGGTCATCGGTCTCCATAAACACACTGCCTTCTCCTGCTTTGTTTCCGACAGTTTCCTTACGCTGCCCCCCCTCCCCAAGAACCAGTGAAGACTCTGAGAAGCCTGATCAACATTCGAAAGGACACACTGAGACTCGTCAAGTAAGTCCCGGGGCTCGGCCAGGGGCCAGGGGCCCTCTCTCGGGCAGGGGCAGCCATGCCCCTTCGACATTCACGAAGCTCTGTGCCAGAACCAGGGCCCCGCCGGCGTCTACTTAGATCAGGGTTCCCCACGCCTAGATGTTCAGACCTCATGGCATAGTCTGCGTTTGGGGAGAATGTCCCCTTTCCCGGAAGCGGTCACTGTGGCCCCTGCTTTATGAATTTTCTTTTAAAGAATTATTGAGGGAAAAAGTGAATTTTGCAGATACCTCAACAAGCCTATGTAAAGATGATATTTGAACTTGGAATATGAAATCCTTATTTATTGCTTATGTTTACTTTTACATGTGTTTTTATTTTATCCTCACCCGAGGACATCCTTCCATTTTTTGTTTCGATAGAGTGGGAGGGAGAGAGAGGAAGAGAGAGAGAGAGAAACATCGGCGTGAAAGGGACACATCGAGTGGTTGCCACCCGCATGACCCATCCAGGGCCGGGGACAAACTGCAACCAAGGTACGTGCCCTTAGCGGGAACTGAACCCGGGTCTCTCTGTATGGCAGGCCGACACTCTAACCGCTGAGCCAAACCGACCAGGGCTTTACATGTATTCTTTTTTTTTTTTTTTTTATCCTCACCCGAGGACATTTTTCCATTCTTTGTACAGATAGAGTGGGAGGGAGAGAGAGAAAGAGAGAAAGAGAAACATCGGCGTGAAAGGGACGCATCGAGTGGCTGCCACCCACACGACCAACCAGGGCCGGGGACAAACTGCAACCGAGGTACATGCCCTTGGCGGGAACCAAACCCGGGTCTCTCTGGACCGCAGGCCAATGCTCTAACCGCTGAGCCAAACTGGCCAGGGCTTTACATGTATTCTTAATCTCATATGCCCAGGAGTTCCGCATGCCCTGGTCTGGCTTCTTAATCACCATCATCAATATTCGTTGTCCCACACCAATCAGAAACCCCCATGTTCGTAGCAGCACTATTTACAATAGCTAAGATCTGGAAACAGCCGAAGTGTCCATCAGTAGACGAATGGATAAAAAAGCAGTGGTACATATACACAATGGAGTACTATGCAGCTGTAAGAAAGAAAGATCTCTTATCCTTTGAGACGACGCGGAGGGACCTGGAAAGTATTGTCCTAAGTGAAACAAGCCAAGCAGAAAAAGACAAATACCACATGATCTCACTTATATATGGAATATAATGATTATAGCAGTCTGAGGAATAGGGTAGACCCAGAAACACGAAAGTAGGGTACAGACTGACAACCCTCAGAAGAGGGAGTGGTGGGGGGTGGGAAGAGATAAACCACAGAACGTATATGCATGTACACATAACCAACGGACATGGACAACAAAGCTGGGGATGGGGTGGGGGGGATGGGTAGGAGGGTATCAATGGGGTAAAAAAGGAGAAACATCTGTAACAAAAATAAAATTAAATAAATTATATATATAAAATAATAATAATAAAATAAAATACTTTCCCCACAATCCAAAAAAAAATATTCGTTGTCTCAGGGTTGCCTTCTTTGTGCTGTGCCCAGTCAGGGCCGGGGTAACTCTGGGCTGCCCTCCACTGAGGCTGGGCAGAAGGTTTGGTGAGGGCCCAGATTCCCAGACTTTCCCAATGAGCATGGACTCACCATTTTGTGCTTGTTTAGGTCAGCCTTATCAGCATTAGGAGGCCAATTTCTCTCTGATAATTCTGTTTTGTTTTTTTTTATCCCCACCTGAGGATATTTTTGCATTTATCTTCAGATAGAGCGGGAGGGAGAAAAAAGGAAGAGAGGGAGAGAAACATCAACGTGAGAGAGACACATCGAGTGGCTGCCACACACACACACCCCCCAATCGGGGCCGAGGACAAACTGCAACTGAGGTACGTGCCCTTAGCGGGAACCGAACCCGGGACTCTCTGGTCCGCGGGCCAATGCTCTAACCGCTGGGCCAAACTGGCCAGGGTTCTCTTCATTTTTTAAAAAATTTTCACCCAAGGATATTTTTCCATTGATTTCTGAGATGAAGTGGGAGGGAGGGAGGGAGAGCTGGAGAGAGAAAGAGACACATCAATTGATTTCCTCCTGGGGATGGAGCCTGCAACCAAAGTACACGCCCTTGGCCAGGAATCGAACCTGCGACTCTTCAATCTGTGAGCCGTCACTCTAACCGCTGAGCCAAACCAGCTAGGGCTTTTTCTTCATTTTTATACTTTATTTGCCCCTGAGGTTTCTGTTGCTTCCCCAACTACTCTCCCAGACCTGGGGACAACTCTCTCCCAGACCTGGGGACAACTCTGGGGGGAGGCAGCCCAGGAGGCGGAATAGACTGAGCCTCCTGAGGCCCCGGGAGCCTCCAGTGGTCAGCGGCTCTGTCCTCTCTGTGTCTGTCTTCACATGTGGCCCACTCACATATGTGACGGAGGCGGGTGCGGGGGCCTGGGCCACCGTGAGGTCCTGGCCACAGCCCGGGAGCAGATGGAGCAGCTGCAAGGCGCTGGGCCCGGCTGGGAGCAGAAGCCCGTTTGCTCCAGCTCCAGCTGCCTGCTCGAGCAAGGCTGAGCTTCAGGTTTCTCCCGGGGAAAAGGGACAATACCCTCTGTTGTCGAAGCGAGCGAGATAACGGAGGGGGAAGCACCTGGCACTGGATGTTAAGGTCAAGGGCATTTTGTTTGGCTTTCTGAGAGTATGGGAACAGAGTACATTCTGATGCTCAGACTTCCGGGAAAGATGGAGGATGGAACAGCTACTTTTGCTTCTCAAAGCTCCACACAAGAATACTTTTTATTTTATTTTATTTTATTTTTTGTCCTCACCCAAGGACATTTTTGCATTTATCTACAGATAGAGCAGGAGGGAGAGAGGGGGGAAGAGAGAGAGAGAAACATCGATGCAAGAGAGACACATCGAGTGGTTGTCACCCACATGACCCCATCTGGGGCCGGGGACAAACTGCAACCGAGGTACGTGCCCTTAGCGGGAACCGAACCCGGGACTCTCTGGTCCGCAAGCTGACGCTCTAACCGCTGAGCCAAACCGGCCAGGGCAAGACTCCTTTTTAAAAGCATAAATCCACAGAATTGGGAGAATGGGAAAGGAGCTGCAGAAACAAAATTTTAGAAGCTAGAAGCAGACGGTGCGTGTGAAGTCACCGAGCGGATGTGAGAAGTCGGAACCCCCAGTGAGCGGGGGTGGCAGCTGAGACTGCCGCGTCTGCGCTGTGACATCCCAGAGGCTCCGGACCTGGCAGCACCAAGACCTCTGGACGATGGGGCGGAAGGCGAGCACCAGGAGGCTTGGTGGAAAGTCTGCAGAAGAGGCTGTCAGACCCCTCCCTTGCCCTACCCAGCAGGCTGCCTTCCCCACACCCTGCAGAGGCCGGTGAGGGCTCCTCACTGGAAAGGCCCAAACAGCGCATCTCTGGATTTGGGACCTGGCACCGCTAGGGCCTGGATGCAGCACTAACGTCGGGGTGAGTGAACTTAGGCACACGGGGTGCTCAGCCCTCCAGCCTGCCCTCCCCACCCCCAGAACGCCAGCAGCCAGGCCTCTGTCAGGGAATGGAGGAATCACCCAGGTGGAAGGACCAGAGACTGGCATTGGAGGGTCCCGGACAGACTCAGACGAGCCCCGGCAAGCCTAGTGTCCCCAAGCCCTGCTGTGCACCCAGAGTTCCAATTTTAAATTTCTTAAGTAGGACCAGACAACCGAAGTCTCTCAGATGTGTAAGGCGCGCCTGTGATATGAAAGAACGTGGCAAAACAAACCGGCGTGGAGAAAAAACACTAAGTGGAAATAAAAATTCTGCAGGACGAGGAAAACGTCATTCAGAGCCTCTGAGACATGAAGAGGGTGCTGTCTTGTTCCGTGGACGCAGTGACACAGGACATCTAGGGAACCGAAGGCCCTTAGAGAGGATAAACATGTTAGCAGAATGAGGAGAGTCAGCGGCATGTAGGAGAAAGCTGAACAGTTCCAGAAAGCGGGAGGAGAAAGCAGAGATCTGAACCATAGGGAAGCAAGAACAGCAGCAGCTGAGCAGTGTAACACCCAGCTAAGGTCGTGGGAAGAAAACGGAGAACATGGGAGGAAGGCAATCAGCAGTGACTTGCACTGTCAGCGTTTCCGACCTGAGAGGACCACCGAGCGCCCGGCGCCACGGACAGCAGCGGCACCTGTCTCAAAGGGAAGAGGATCAGCCACCGGGATGGAGCCGAGAACACGGGGAAGCTGGACGATGATGCGGTGATGCTTTGAAGGGCTTTTAAAAGTGTCTTTAGCCTAGGATTCTTTATCCGTCCAGACTTTCCATGAAGTCAGCACAATAAAATGTCTCAGAAAGTTTATCCCCCCAAAACGCCCTTTTTCAGGAAGCCGCTGGAAGGTGTGCTCCACCCAAATGGAAGCGTAACCCAAGGAGGAGGGAGCCAGGAGAGAGGCACAGGGACCAGCAGGGTGACGAGGGGAGACCCCAGGATGGCGGCTGCCTGCAGGTGCAGGGGCCCGGAGACCAGAGCGCAGGTCAGAAGGCTCCAGAAGGGGCCACCTCGAGACGCTAAACCGCACAGAACACCGGTGCAGCCGAACAACCAGAGAGTTCGGCAGCCCGCGGAGGGTTTGGGTGTGAATTAGTGACGAGGTACATGGAAAACAGAGCAGCTGAGAAAACACAAAGGAAAACAGCAATGATGGGGGTTCCTCTGGGGCTGAACAGTGAATAATACTGAAATACTCAGAATCACAAAACCATGCAGAGCGGGAGGGAAGGAAGCCCTCCTCTCCGTGACAGGAGGGAGATGCCCGAAGCTGAGACACAGGAGTGGCCCCGCATGGTACTTAGAAACACGGGAAAGGGTGCTTTCCTCCGAAGAGGCGGGAGGGGGGACAGTGGCGCCTTGTGGAAACTATGTAAACTACGCGACTAGTAACTGATGACAACAAAACCAAAAGTAAATCGGGTCCCAGTGCACAAGGACGCTGGTTGTGGCACCGGGAAACATCGGCCGTCACCAGCGCCCAGCGGCGGCAATGAGGTCCTCTGCTGTCTTCCCAAGGAGCATGGCGCCGAGGCCTGTGATCACAGAGAGAAGCCCCAATATGTGAAGTTTAAAAAAAGAATAATTTTAAAATATTGGTTTGCTACCTGCCAAATTCTCAGTCTTTGTGTTTTTCCAGATGTGCTGAGGAGGTCAAGACCCCTGGGGAAGAGGCCAGCAAAGCCAAAGTCCACTACAACGTGGAGTTCACCTTCGACACCGATGCCCGCGTGGCCATCACCATCTACTACCAGGCCACCGAGGAGTTCCAGAACGGCGTTGCCAGGTAAGCCGGGAAGAGCCCCCGCGAGCCGCTTCCTTCCCAGCCAGGCTAGGGTCCCTGCCCTGTGCACTTGCCCGTGGAGGAAAACAGTCTCTTCCTACAACCAGGTGAGACCCGGTTCTTGAATCTGGACTTCCTTCTACAGAGCCCACTGGAGCCTTTTCCCTTTAACTGTGCCGTGTGGACACAGTGCAGATGGCAGCATAGCCCTTCAGATCACTGAGATGCTGTTAAAACCCTATGAAGCTACCCTCCTGGGGCTGAGTGGCTGCGTAGACAAGTTTAATAGCATTACCAAGCAAAAGCAAAGGAAACAGACGGCAGGAGGTCTGGTCTGTTCTGTTTTATTCCTAGAGCCTGTGGATAATGGACAACAGGCGCGAGCCAGAGGAGATGGTCAGATCCGTCTGGGCTACACACTAACTCTTGCTCTGCTTCCTACTTTGATCCATAGCTACATCCCCAAAGACAACAGCCTGCAGTCGGAGACGGTGCACTACAAGCGAGGGGTGTGTCAGCAGTTCTGCCTGCCCTCCCACACGGTGGACCCCTCCGAGTGGGCCGAAGAGGAGGTGAGCCGCCCCGGCGAGGTGACGCTGCTGGGAGAAAACGCAGGGCAGGTCCGCGCATGGACCCGGGTGGGCCCAGGAGCTGGTTAGGACCCTGCCAACAGCAACAGACTGACTGCCCAGGTGCTGGAGGGTCACACGGACCATCAGCCCTGTAACTCCTTCATTCCCTTAAAAGGATGCACCTAACCTCGTGGATTTTCTATCCCAAACTAGCCCGTTAGCCCAGGGCATTTTAAGAAATCCATGCTTTCCCGGCCAGCATGACTCAGTGGGTTGAGCTATGTCCCATGGACCGAGAGATCCTGGTTCGATTCCAATCAGGGCTCATGCCCGGGCTGCGGGGTATGTAGGAGGCAGCCGATGGGTGTTTCTCTCTCACATCAATGTTTCTTTCTCTCTCCCTTCCTTTCTCTCTAAATAAAATAAAAATCAATAAAATAAATGAATCCATGCTCACAGAAAAGAACCTGGGGGTTACAGCTGTACCTCTAGGACATGTCAAAGAGAAACCGGTGGCCTTCCATCAGAGGGACATGAGTGTTCCGAGGTTGGGGGGAACAGAGATGAGGTTCCTGACAACACCTCCCTCTGGGTGGGTCCCTGTGCCGCGGTCAGTCCTTCTTGGCTCTTACTTTCTTTCCTTTTCCCTCAGCTTGGCTTCGACCTGGACCGAGAGGTCTACCCGTTAGTGGTCCAAGCTGTGGTGGACGAAGGGGACGGTATGGATGCCCCCTCTTCTTTTGCCAACACACAGCCCTTTTGTGGCACCAGGCCTGGGGCAGCCGTGGCCTCCTTGGTGGGGGTCAGGCAGTGTCTGATTCCGCGCCTGCTCTCTGTCCCGAGGTCCTCGGACCGCAAGAGCATCGCTGGGTCCCATAATGTGCCCCGGCCACGACAGCACGGACGCTTGCTGGCGGCGGGGAATCGGGGGAGGTGGGCATCGGGCGCATTGTTTTGTTTTCCTCCTCATCCGTGTGTGTATTTCTTTCAGAGTATTTTGGCCATTGCCACGTGCTGCTAGGCACTTTTGAAAAGGTAAGTGAGTAGCTTTCTAGGGCCTCACTTTAGCATGTTTAACTCTTTCATGGGAGGCGAGTGTAACCCTTGTCTCTGGCTGCCTGAGCTCAACGGGGTGGGGGGGCTGGCTCGGGAGGCTGTGGGTGGGGGGGCCGCACTGGGATTGAGTTCCAGCTCTGCCACCAACTTGTGCATGACCTCCACCCCACCCCATAGGCCTCGTTGTCTCTTCTCCAAATGGAAGAGTTAGATCAGACACTTGTGAGGCCTGCCATCACTAGGGTCTGTAAGCACACGGCGGGTGCCCAGAACCTGCGTGGTCGGGAGAGGTCCCCGCGAACCACCGGGGCTTTCTGGCCTCCCCCCTTGTCATCGCTGTCATGTTTCCCTCCAGCACACGGATGGGACTTTCTGCGCCAAGCCCCTCAAACAGAAGCAAGTGGTGAGTGCTGAGCACCAGGACTGCTGGCCTCCTCTTTCCCTCCTCCCTCCCTCCCTCCCTCCCCTCCCTCCTCCCTCTCTCCCTCCCTCCCCTCCCTCCTCCCTCCCTCCCTCCTTCCCTTCCTCCCTCCCTCCCTCCCTCCCCCTCCCCTCCCTCCCCCTCCTCCCTCCCTCCCCCTCCCCCTCCCTCCCCCTCCTTCCTTCCTCCCTTCCTCCCTTCCCTCCTCCCTCCCTCCCTCCCTCCCTCCCTCCCTCCCTCCCTCCCTCCCTCCCTCCCTCCTTCCTTCCTTCCTTCCTTCCTTCCTTCCTTCCTTCCTTCCTTCCTTCTCTCTCTCTCTTTTGCTAAGCATTCTTCTTCCCCCACCCAGCCCCCTTTTGTTAAAGAGAAAAGGGTGTGGCCCTGGCCGGTTTGGCTCAGCGGTTAGAGCGTTGACCTGCGGTCAAGAGAGACCCGGGTTCGGTTCCCGCTAAGGGCGCGTACTTCGGCTGCAGTTTGTCCCTGGCCCTGGTTGGTCATGTGGGTGGCAGCCACTCAATGTGTTCGTTTCATGTCGATGTTTCTCTCTCTCTTCCTCTCTCTCCCTCCCACTCTATCTGTACAAAAAATGGAAAAATATCCTTGGATGAGGATAAAAAAAAAATTTAAAAAAAAAAAGAGAAAAGGGTGTGCTTCTGTGTGTGAGGCTACGTGGGTGGCCTGAAAAGGACACTGGGTTTTGGTGTCTGACCGTTTCAGAATGAGGCAGCCATTCTCTGAGCACAGGACTTGAGATGGGAAAGGATAAGATTTGTCTCCTGACATTAGGTTTGGGGAGAACTCTTTTTATCTAAAATGTCAGGCCTGAGACATTTCAAGCTAAAGGATAAAGTGCTGGAGTCCAATTCAGGGCCAGTTAGAGCGCTTGGCTTAGTTTAGCTTCTCTAACATCCAGAGTTTGCCCGCCAGCTGTCCCCTCCGGAATGGGCCACATGTTAGGCGCATGTCTGCTGGAAGTCCTGACCCTGCTGCCACCTTCCCCTCTTGCAGAAGTAGGAGGAGAGGAGGGTGAGGAGGGGGCGTGCCCATGACATTGGCAGCCCCCACCATGGGTGGTGGTATCTGAAATTCTACATATTCAGTTTTGAGGGCTAAGAGCTCTCCCTTCTTCACAAGGTCAGTAGTCAGTAATACCTTAGTATAAATTAGTTGATAGTATCCTTTCTAACATAATCACTGAAGTAAAACAGGTTATAAGAGAGGCAGAGGAGGAAACAGATGCTGAGCCCAGAGTCCTGCCGGGAAAGGCCAGGCCTTGCCGATCGCCTGCGGGGGGGGGGGGGGCAGCTCTCCAGGGCACCTGGATAGAGTGGCTGGCTGGGGTAGCTCAAGGAAAATGGTTTCTCTGCTTTTCTGTTGCTAGATTGGCATTAGTAACAGTCTCTGTCAGGCTGCAGAGTGGGATGTGAAATCAGTGACAGGCTAGGTCTTGGGGGAGGGGATCAAGATGGAGGCCAGGCGGAGGAGGGGAGCAGCCGCAAATAGAGAGACCAGGGAGGGCCAGCTTGGGCACTGCCGGAGCCCCCACTAGGGGAGTGAACCTGGGCATCGGAGTTGGAGTTTTAAGAAACATGCCCAGCCCTGGCTGGTTTGGCTCAGCAGTTGGGGTGTTGCCCCTCGGACCAAAGAGTCATGGGTTCAGTTCCAGCCAAGGGCACCTACCTCGGTTGCGATTCCATCCCCAGCCCTGGTCGGGGTTGTGCCAGAGGCAACCAGTTGATGTGTGTGTGTGTGTGTGTGTCTTTCCTTTGCACTCTATCTAAAGATAAATGGAAAAATATCCTTGGGTGAGGACTTAAAAAAAAAAAGAAAGAAAGAAACAAGGCCAAGCCCTGCCCAGTTTGGCTCAGCAATTAGAGCATCAGCCCACGGACTGAAAGGTCTCGGGCATGTACCTGCGTTGCAGGTTTGATCCCCTGATGTATCTGTCTCACATTGATGTGTCTAAAAGTCAATGGAAAAATATTGGGTGAGGGTTAACAAAATTAATAAATAAAAATAAATAATAAAAGAAATAAACATGTGAGAGGTGTTAATAAAAAGAAGAGAAGAAAAGGGAAGAGAAAAGAAAAGAAACATGGCCACGAGGGGTGTGGCTGCGTGTTGGGGAAGGCGATTCTGGGTGGGGAGGGCACACTTGGCTCTCCTCGAACGCCTCCCTGCAGCGTTTTCCTTCCCCCCTTTTCCTTGCCCATCTCTTCTCCTCGTCCTTTCTCTTCCATGCCTTCATTTATGTGATCCGTGGACCCAATGTTATTTCATGGCTGACGTTATATTCTGATGCGTATCCTCCCACCTTTTCTAGTCTGTGCCTTTCTTAACTGACGGCTGTGTGACGGCAGGACGCTGTCATGGCCACACGTGCACTCTGTGTGCCCGGTGGGCGTGATGTGGGTGAATGAAACACTTTCCTTCTCCTCCCAGCGAGAAAACAGAAGTGAGCAAAATGCCCTCTGCTTGCCGAGGCCCGGCTTGCTGTCTGTCCTGCAGTCCTTAGTCACCGGGCGGGGCGAGCGGCGCTCCGGCCCTGAGCTTCTCTCTGTCTGCTCCGCAGGTAGATGGGGTCAGCTACCTCCTGCAGGAAATCTACGGCATCGAAAACAAGTACAACACGCAAGACTCCAAGGCGAGTTCTACTGGAAGTCTGACTGCTCTTCCCAGAGGCAGTGAGACTCTCTGATAAGCCAGGTTCTGGGCGCGGCGGGCGCCCAGCTCTGCAGTCGGTTGGGGCCCAGAGGGTATCCTGTTCCGCATTTCAGATGGTTGCACTTAAACCACTTTGGAGATGAGAAACACAGCCGGTTTGGGTTATTCCTGAGAGCTCCGTGCCCTCCGCTTGCTGGCTGGGCTGTCTGGTCCCTAAACCCCTCTTCCCTGTGTGGCTGCTCCGCCCCGCAGTTCGCTGGTCCAAGTGCCGATCTGAGCCTCCTAGGGTGAGCTTGAGATAACGGTTCCGAAGTGAGATGAGCCTGTGAACGCACGAGGTCGACTATAAAGTCCAATGTGAAGGCGAGATTCTGTTCCTATTCCTTGTCTCAGTCCTTCAGGCCAACTGCCTTGTGCAGAAAGTATGTGTCGCCCTGGCCGGTTTGGCCCAGCGGTTAGAGCATCGGCCCACGGACTAGAGAGACCGGGGTTCGGTTCCCGCTAAGGGCACATACCTCAGTTGCAGTTTGTCCCCCGCCCTGGATGGGGTCGTGTGGGTGGCAACCACTCCATGTGTCTCTCTCACGTCAATGTTTCTCTCTCTCTCTCTCCCTTCTGCTCTGTCTGAAGATAAATGCAAAAATGTCCTTGGGTGAGGGTTAAGAAAAAAGAAAAAGGAAAAAAAAAAACAGAAAGTACGTGTCTTTTGTCATTGGCTCAGTTTCTGTCTCCCGGCCAGGTGGCTGAGGATGAAGTGAGTGACAACAGCGCTGAGTGCGTGGTGTGTCTCTCCGACGTCCGGGACACCTTGATTCTGCCCTGTCGCCACCTCTGCCTCTGTAACACCTGTGCAGATACCCTGCGCTACCAGGCCAACAACTGCCCCATCTGCCGACTGCGTAAGCCCCTGCTGGGCCCGCACACTGATGGGCACTGGGAGGGGGCATCGCGTTTTCTGACTCCTGCGCCCAGATGTCCTGATCGCCCTTTTCCTTCTTCGCAGCCTTCCGGGCTCTGCTTCAGATCCGAGCCATGAGGAAGAAACTGGGGCCCTTGTCCCCAACCAGCTTCAACCCCATCATCTCCTCCCAGACATCCGACTCGGACGAGCACTCGGTAAGTTGGGTTCAGAACCACGACCCCCTGTGAAGCAGACACTGTGGTCTCCTCGTTGCCTCTTCTCACATTTGCCCCCCCCCTTTTAATATATTTTTTAATTGATTAAAAAAAATTGTTTTTCTTTATTGATTTTAGAGAGAGAAGAAGGGAGAAGGAGAGAGAGATAGAAACATCCATGAGAGAGAACATCGACTGGCCAGGCTGCCTCCTGCATGCCTCCCACTGGGGATCAGGCCCACAACCTGGACATGTGCCCTGACCGGGAATCAAACCGGCGACCTCTTGGTGCCTGGGTTGATGCTCAACCACTGAGCCACACCAGCCAGGCTTTGGCCGTTTTTACATGGCTTTGCAGGAAGTAATTAAACCTTGGCAGCGGAAGTAGTTAGTCAGCTGGCAGAGACCACGTGACCTTAAAACCAACCTGCAGTACAAGGTTAGAAACCCGGTGTCCTCGGGGACTCCCCCAGACAGAAACGAGGGGTGGTTGTCTTAAGCTGGAATACACTTTACTGTCTCTATCTGAATCCTCGGAGGAGGTAACTGTTGCTCTTTATCCCATTTCGTGGCTTCAGGGGCTGGGAGCCAAGCAGATAAGCTCACTCTCCTCCCTTTCCGAGGGGAAGGCATGGTGTTGAGTGAAGCTGGGGAGCCCAGTAGTTACAGCCCAGCAGACGCTGGCTCTCCTAGATGGGACACGAGTGGGGAGACTTACCATCCATGGACAGTGTTGGGACCATTAGTTAGCTGTCTGGGGAGGAAGATCGTTCAGTGCTTACTCCGTACCAGAGAGCAAATCCCTCCTGGAGTATGGCGAACTAGATTCCACGCCAAGCAGACCCGGGACGTTAGAAACCTGGAACGGATTCCCAGTGGCTTGGGATGGGAGCGGCCTCTCTAAGCTTAAAAGCGATGGAACAGGAGAAACAAAGACTGCAGAAGTTACCACATAGAAGCTGCAGCTTCAGACGTGTGAACGATGACGATGACGATGACCGACCGAAATGGAAAGGCAGGCAGCCGCCCGTTTAAAGACAAAATGTCTTCGCCCCGAGGAAAGCCTCGCTCTTCGCTGTAGCTCGTATGAATAAAACAGCAGATAAGTGCTCACAGATATGAAAACCCTTAGGAGAGGAAACGTAGCTGACTAATAGTCCTTTTTCTCAACGTCAACCACATTAAAAATCAGCAAGATGCAAATCAAAGGAAATACCATTTTTCACCTTTCACATTTAAAAAGCTTTTTAAAGATACTGCCTGCTGGCAGAATAGGGTTTTTTTTTCCCCCCTGCCTTTTTTTTTTTTTTTTTTTTAATATGTTTTTATTGATTTTTTAGAGAGAGAGGAAGGGAGAGACGGGAACCTCGGTGTGAGAAACATCCATCAGCTGCCTCCCGCACGCCCCCTACTGGGGATGGAGCCCACCATCTGGGCATGTGCCCTGGCCGGGAATCGGACCAGGACCTCTCAGTCCACTGAGCCGCACCAGCCAGACGTTTTCTGCTTTTAGGAGTACCTAGAAAGATTGTTGTAAAAAAACAACAGAACAGTTGTATCTATCAAGAACCTTAAACACAGTTGTACCTGATCATCTAAGGTCTAAGAATTTAATACCAAGAAAATAATCTGAGGGGAAAAAGGGATTTTATGCACAGTCAGTGGTGTCAGACACCACTAAGTGGCTGGCACGGGGACCGATAGGAACTTCCGGTGTCTGTGAAAAGGGGATGAGTGTGAAGGAAAACACTTGTGTTTGGTGAAATAAGCAGGATATAAAATTGTTATTGACAGATTGTAACTGTGTAAACAGTACAGAGGAAAAGGTTGGAAGAAAATACACAGAATGCTAATAAAGTTATTACTTTGAGGATTTGATTATTGATGGTTTTTCCCTTTCTTTCTACTTGTTTTTTTTTATCCTCACCTGAGGACATTTTTGCATTTATCTTCAGATAGAGCGGGAGGGAGAAAAGGAGGGAGAGAGAGAAACATCAACGTGAGAGAGACACATCGACTGGCTGCCACCCACATGACCCCAACCAGGGCCAGGGTCAAACTGCAACCGAGGTACGTGCCCTTAGCGGGAACCGAACCCGGGTCTCTCTGGTCCATGGGCCGACGCTCTAACCGCTGAGCCAGACCGGCCAGGGCACCACTTGTTTTTAACCCTTACCCGAGGATATGTTTATTGATTCTGGAGAGAGGAAGGGAGGGAGAGAGAGAAAGAGAGCACGTTGATGTGAGAGAAACGTAGCTCGGTTGCCCTGTGTACACCCCACCAGGGATCGAACACCTAACCTGGGTATGTGCCCTGAGCAGGAATCGAAGCCACAACCTTTTGGTGTATGGGACAATGCTCCAACCAACTGAGCCACCTGGTCAGGGCCCCTGCTTTCTGCTTTTATGTATTTTCCAAATTTCCTCTACCAGATGTATATTTCTATTGTAATAAAATAAAAAAAACTAGACATTATTCAGAAGTTCATCTATAAGCAGAATCTAGGAATACGTGCTCCTTTGACACGTTATCTTTCTTCGGCCTGTAGTTCAGAAGCTTTTTGACAGACAACACCGCCTCCCGCACTCCCGGCCCACAGCAGGCGTAAGAAAACATTTTTCCAGTGCAGAGTAGGAAAGACGATCGTGCCGAACAACAAAGGGTATTTAATGAATTCTTCAACCTGTCTGACTCCCCTAGTCCTCAGAGAACATTCCGCCAGGTTATGAAGTGGTGTCTCTTCTGGAGGCCCTCAACGGGCCCCTCACCCCGTCCCCCGCGGCCCCTCCGCTCCACGCGCTGGGAGATGGCCACCTCTCAGGAATGCTGCCTGCCTACGGCAGCGAGGGCCACCTGCCCCCTGTCCGGATGCTCTCCCCCCTCGACCGGCTGTCCGACTGCAGCAGCCAAGGACTCAAGCTCAAAAGGAGTCTCTCCAAGTGAGTAGCCGGCACTCAGCATCGGCCTGGGGGCTCGGTGGGTGCTTCCAACCCCCCCTCATCTCCTCCGCTGACTGCGGTCCAGGTGCCTGGGGCAGGGTGGACCCTCTGGGCTGTTTCCAGAGCTTCTCATTTCACTGGAGACTTGGGGCTAACGCCTGGGGGAAGTAAGGTGGCCCACGGGACGTAGGAGGATCCAGACAGACGAATCTATTCCACGTTCTGTTCGGGGGGGGGGGGGGCAGGGCTAGGGAGCATCGTTTAGTCTGAAGACCACAGTAACCTGTGATCTGTATCTTTTAAGCATTTAAATCCAACTAGGTACAAGTCATGATAAACTTTCTGCGGCAGAGTAAAGGAAGGTATTTTATAGATGAAAATATTAAGACACTGCCCTGGCCAGTTTTGCTCAGTGGTTAGAGTGTCGGCCCGCAGACCAGAGTCGTGGGTTCGATTCAGGTCAAGGGCACGTACCTTGGTTGCGGTTCTTCCCTGGCCCTGATCGAGGTCGTGTGGGAGGCAGCCAGTCGATGTGTCCCTCTCACATCGATGTTTCTCTTTCTCCCTCTCTCCCACTCTGTCCAAAGAGAAGGTAGAAAAATATACTTGGGTGAGAATTAAAAAAAAAAATAGTAACGCATCAAAAATGTCAGTGGCACCCTGGCCAGTTTGGCTCGGCAGTTAGAGGGCCAGCCTGCGGTCCAGAGAGACCCAGGTTCGGTTCCCCCTAAGGACACGTATCTTGGTTGCAGTTTGTCCCCGGCCCTGGTTAGGTCGTGTGGGTGTCAGCCACTTGATGTGTCCCTTTCACGTCGATGTTTCTCTCTTCCTCTCTCCCTCCCACTCTATCTGAACAGAAAATGGAAAAATGTCCTCAGGTGAGGATGAAAATAATAATAATAATAATAATAATAATAATAATAATAAAAATGTCAGTGGCTTTTCCCAAGTGCAGACAAGAGTTATGGAAGGAGCTGAAGAGAAAACTGAGATGTTCTGACACCCAGAAGAGGTCTCAGTCCCATCAAGTGCTCTCACCCACCTCCCTGCTCCTTCTTAAGATTTGGGGTTCCCCTTGCAATCCTCCTGCAGGGTCCGGTCAGTACGCTCTGCTCCTTCCGTGGCTGTGGGTTCACTGCTGTCCCCTCGGACCCCACAGGTCTGTCTCGCAGAACTCGTCCGTGCTGCACGAGGAGGAAGATGAGCGTTCCTGCAGCGAGTCGGAGACGCGCCTGTCTCCGCGGCCGTCCGCTCCGCAGCTGGGAGAGGTGACCGGCATCGCCCTCCCTGTCTTGGGGGTTGGACCCCAGTCCTTGCCTCTTCGGGTCCCCCTGCTGTCATTCATCCATCAAACACCCTTTGAACACTCCCTGACACAGCAGCAAGGTTTCGGTCGGTTCGTTCACTTTGAGCGAGCCTGTGCTATCACCTGTCACTCTCCTGCTGAGGACGGCAGCAGGGAGGAGATGCGTATGTCCCTGCTGGCGGCACATAGTCTCGGCTTGATAGAGGGGTGGGGGTGGGTACAAAAGGCAGCGAGTAAAAATGTGTCCGATGGCGCTGCGGTCACCGCGACAGATGAGGGAGAAGGGGAGTGTCGAGGCCAGAGGTGGGGTTGCCGCCTCTACACAGCGGTCCCTGAACGAGGCCGAAGGGGCGTGAGAGCGAGCTGCGGGGGTGTCCGGGGAGGGCCGGGCGCAGCAGGTGACACGCCCCGAGAGGCCGTGCTCGCGGCCTGCCCCGTGCACCCCTCACAGACTCTGGGGAACGGGTTCATCACGCCCAGCCTCGGCAAGGCACCTGGAGCGGACGGGGTGAGAGGGGCCCCGTCTTCAGGAGCTCGTGTCGAGTTGGGACAGGACATGTACCTGGCTGGCAGCAGTGTCTGGCTCCCAGTTGTTGGTCAGTTCGGTGTTTGCTGAATGAATGAATGAATGAATGAAACGCTGGGAAACAGTGTGCCCATTGCAGGGACAGGAAGCGCTGTGCAGAGGGGGGGACGGCGAGTGGAGGAGACCAGGAGGACCAGGGAGGACCAGCGTGGGGCTGAGTCTTGAAATTCTTAGAAATGAAGACAAAGGCCAGAGAAACACTGGGGGGCGGGGAGTCTGGGCGCGGGCAGGTCTGTGGTCTCCTGAAGTCCCACCTGCTGGAGGTGTAGGCGGATTAGTGGGGAGACAGACTGAGCCAGGAGCTACTCCGGGAGCCCGGGCGGCAGGGACGCGGATCTGAGATGACAAAGAACACCTGCGTGGAGGAAGGAATGGGCCGTGGGGACAGAACCCCTGGGGTGTGTCCTCCGCCTGGGACGGGGTGGGTGGCCTGCCCGGGAGCTCCCAGGTGGGGTGTCAGGGCTGGGACAGGGTGTGAGTTAAACCACTGAGCAGGAACGAGCCTGACACCCGAGGGGCGATGCCTGGCCTGCGGGGCGGCCTCTGCTGCTCCGTGTTCCTCTCCTTCAGAAGGAAGCTGTTCCTAGTCCCAGGGAAAGCTGGGTGTTCCCATGTCACAGCTGCTGGCTGACCTGTGTCACCCGAGCCGCAGTCTTTGTAAGGCCCCAGCAGATGCTGTGCCTCGGGCAGGACAGGCAGGACGTGCTGACTGAAGCTGGCACCTCCCCTGGGAGACGCCGTCCAGGCAGGCGGGAGAGATGACAGGAGAGAGACTGCCCTTCCTCCGCAGGGTCCTGGTGTGGTGACCATGCCTGTGGGACCTCAGCCCCTCCCAGGGTCCCCTCCCCTCCTCCTTCCCCAGGTCCCTGCCCTTTCAGCCACCCTCCTGCGGTTGACTTGCCCCCCCCTCCCTCCCCCCAGGAATGTGGCGTCACTCCAGACAGCGAGGATCTTACCTTGTCGTCAGGAGCCGTCGACCAGTCGTCTTGCACGGGGACGCCCCTCTCCTCCACAGTCTCCTCGCCTGAAGGTACGTGGAGCAGCGAGGACTGACGGCACGTGCTGCCCTGGGCTAGTCCTCCGCCCTGTCCTCCGACACAGACCTGGGGCAGCACCTTACCACCTGAGTGCGGGAAGGGGACTTGCTCTCCTGGGTGGTGGTCTTGCCGCCGAGCTGGGGGACAAGCAGCTGTCTTGCTCCCGGTCCTTAAGTCCCTGGTCCCCGAGGTTCAGTTCCAAGCCCTAAATGTGTGGGAGCAGAGCCGCGGAAAACTTAAATCTAAAACCCTTTAGGTGAAGGCGAGGTGAGGCCCTCCACCCCTCACTCAGCCCGGAGTTCCTGCCTGACTCCCTGTCCTTCCTTCACCTGTCTCCAAAGACCCTGCCAGCAGCAGTCTGGCCCAGTCCGTCATGTCCATGGTGTCCTCCCAGAGCCAGCACTCCCAGATCAGCACCGACACCGTCTCCTCCATGTCCGGCTCCTGCGTCGCCCCCGGCACCGGCACCGGCACGGAGGACGAGGACGAGGGAGAGGCTGTCCCGTCCCCCCTGGCCGCCAGCAGGGCCGCCTCAGAGGAAGGAGAGGTAAGGGGAGGGCACGCTGGTCCGTGTCTCTGTGTGTGGTCGCCCACAAGCTCACTGCAAGGCTGGCGAGGACAGCCACAAAGATGGGGACAATGCAAGGCTCCCCTCAGGCCTGACTGTCGACTCTGTTCTGATTTCTGTCCCAAGAACGTGGGGCCCCGCAGAGGACGCGGGGCCCCGCAGAGGACGCGGGGCCCCGCAGAGGACGCGGCGCTCCGCAGAGCCCTGGGTCTCTGCCTCCACTCATGCTCTTTTGCAGGCGATGCCAGCAGCCTCTCCGGACAGCAGCTTCGCCGGCCTCGCCGAAGAGCAGGATGCAGAGGTAACGCCCACAGGGGGCGCTGTGCTCCCTCCCGCTGGCTGGGGAGCACGGGGGGGTAGGACGGGCTGTTCCCAGCAGTCCTTCCGTGGCATTGGGGGGCAGGCGTGGTGTGGAGAGAGCAGCAGCCGCGCCCTGGTCGGTGGAGCCCCGCTAGCAGAGGGCTGGTCGTAGAGTAACAGGCGTGAGTGGGCCTTAGCGCGTGTCTGTCCTTCGTTCACATGTGACCATGTACACAGGACGACTGTGGCCATAAGACCTGGGTGACCTGGTTTCTGCCTGCCCCCCACCCCGCACCCATCCAGGGGGAGACGGGGTGACACTTCAGCACGAGAAGGGCCTTGATCTAGGTGTGGGAGGTTCGCGAACTGCCCAGCTCACGGTGAGGGCTCTAGACCTTGTTCTTTCTTTTCCTCTAGAACTTTTTCATGAGCCACATGTTCTCGAAGGAGTGTCTGGACAGGGTCTGCGATCGGACGGGTTTCTGAAAGTTTTATGACCTCACTGTTTGCTTTTCCTTTGGGCTTCTGTTTACACCTTAGAAAACAGTAAGCGCTACACTGCGGCCGTGGCCGGTCCTGCCATTTCTAGTGAGCATCTGAAGCCTGCCTCAGCGCCCGTCCCTCCGGGCAGGCTGGGCCTCGCCAGGCCACTCTGCCTCTGCCCGGCCTCCTGGGCATCCCAGCTCGGACACCTTGGACGTTGGCCTGGAGCTTAATGCCATTAGGTGATGAGTGTAGTCTTCAGCCCAGGAATATCCAGTCGGCCCTTAAACAGCACGTGCAAACCCGCTCTGTCCCCGGGTCGGCTGTGTTTTCCGTCTGCAGGTGGAAGCCCGTGCGTGCAGGGGGCCGCTGGAAGTGACGTGCGGATTTCCGGCCGCGTGGTGGCCGGCGCCCTGACCTGCGCGCCACTCGAGGGTCGTCTGCACTGTTCACTTCGCTGCTCCACACTCACAGCGCCTTCCTTCTGTTGTAGGGCAACGATGTCCTGGAGGAAGACGATGGATCGCCCACGCAGGAAGATGGTAACAGACCTGGTCTTTTGCTCCCTCTTATTGTGCTTTCTGGGGTATTCCTTCAAGGGTACGGAAGGGGCACTGGTATGAGTCGGTGGCAGTCCTCCGCGTGTGCCATTGGGGAAAGGTCACCTGCTCGATGGCCTGCGTAGTGAACAAGCAGGTCCCCGAGGACCGCAGTGGCCTTCCCAGCCCGCCTGGGCTCAGGGCGCAGAAGATACTGTGGTTCTGCATTTACACCGAACAGATTCCGAAGCTTCCCGGGCTACCCCGTCGCCCTCCTTCCTACCCCCGCTCTCCAGCGGATCCCCCAGAGCGGCTCCAGCACCCCGAAGTCTACAGCAGCAGCACAGCCATCTCCTCCACTCGGGAGCGAGACGGTTAGGCTGCCGGTTTGGTTTCGCTGTAGCCTAAGGAGGTGGCTGCTGTTACCGTGACAGGGCCCTGAGGAGCCAGGGGCACAGGGAAGGCACGGAGGAGACAAGGGTTCTATAGCTGTCGCCCTGACTTTTCTGTAACGATTCAGGCCCCCACCATGTCTTCCGTTGGAAGAACGTTGTTTCTAGTGTGGCTACAGGAGAAGGGCTGATCTGCAGAGCAAGGAGCAGGAAGAAGGGGTGGGGCTGGGAGGCCCATTGGGGACCGAAGGCAGCTGTCCCAGGAACCAGCGTCTCTCCCCTCTGCTCTGAGGTGCCCCCGCAGAAGGACACCTCCAAAGCAGACCCGGACCCCAGCGGGACGCAGATGTCATCTCAGTTGCTTCTGCTTCAGCGCTGGCCGTTGCTTGGGGAGTTCAGGGGTGCGCATGCGGACTTGACCACTGTCGCCTGGACAAGTCGCCCTGAAGGAGGGGATGGCCGCCAAGGCTGCGCCTCCGCCACACTCTTGCACGCCAGCCCCAGACGGGGTCGGGCGCTTCATCCACTGGTGATGTCATCGGTGCTCAAGGCTCCCTTTGTGACTGTTCCCCCCACAGAATACTTGCTTCCGACGAGTGCAGGCCGCAGGTTCCCTGACGTTCTGCAGCCCACACAGTGGATGTGTGTCTTCCTCTCCCCTTCACCAAGAAAAAGAGAAGAGGGAGCTTGAAAAAAATAACTTCTCAAACGTTCCCCTTCCCCTCTCACATGTCTGTAGGTTTCTGGTCAGTCCCTTAAAACGTCTCGAAATAACAAATTTCCTAAGTCTCATGAGAAGAGAAATCATAATTTGGTGAATGTGGTGCTTCCGACTTGATATGCAAACGTACGGAGCCTGAGACCTTGAACTGCTGTTCTAGATGTAGCATTTGCAGGGCCTCGTGGCCATAAGCACACCCCACAGCACCGACTGGCACAGGCAGGAGCAGGGTAGCTTCACCAGTGGGTCCCCAGCTCCCCAGCCCTGGGCAGAGCTCCGCTTCGGTCACGGGCTCCGGGCGGCGTGTGGCCCGTGGCAGCCTCCCAGGGTCTGCCTTGCCGTGGATCGGGCTGGGAGGGGCCACTTAGGGAAAGGGAGCCAGCTCGCGCAAGAACACGAACTTGCCCACACCGTTTGATACCTTTATTGTCCACTCTTTACCCACTTAATTACTGTCTTTTTTTTTTTTTTTTTCTAAACACATGATTTGATTTTTTTTGTCTCCATCCTTAAGATTTTTATTTTAAGGACAGCAAAGCAGGGAACAATCCAGCCAAGCCCCTGTCTAACTGCATTAACTCCCTTGCAGGCCAGAGGACATGCGCATTTCTAGGTATGGAGTGTGACAATAACAATGACTTTGACATCGCAAGCGTGAAAGCACTGGACAATAAGCTGTGCTCTGAGGTCTGCTTACCCGGTGAGTGGCAGTCTGCTGAACATGAACTTGGTGGGAGTCGCTCCCCTGCTCACGCCCCTGCCCTCACCCTGGGACACCCATCTCCTGCCCCGCAGCTCCTGCAGAAGCCACAGGCTGTGCTAAGCCGCTGGAAGCCCCTGCTGAAGGAAGTGAGGAGGCCTCAGGACAGTCCCTGAGCTGTGTGCCCTGAGGGAGACTGTCAGGTCAGGAAGGAGGGAGCAGCTCTCCCTCTCCTTCCGCCTGCCCACCAGCCCCCTCCATCTGGATCTTGCAGATCCCATGGCTGTGGCCTGGCCTTGTTCTCAGCAGGAAGCTGGAGGCAGACACACCTCTCTACCTTGGAGAGAGAGCCTGAGCCCTAGAAAAGAGCAAATGCAGCTCCTCAGAAGGAATGTGTTTCGTCAGAATCAGGGAGGAATTTGAAAGCCAACATCGTATAAACTAGCGAATATCTCCGAGGTCCAGCGAGCTTTGGGGTACCGGTTGCATTTTACTTGTTAGCTCTGGATCCCAAAAGAGAGGTCAGAGTTGAGGGTGACTGCTTCCTGGAGCCCTAACTTTAAACTCCACCAGGGCTGTCAGTGTGCCCCTCATCCCTTCTCACGTCTGAACGGAACCTAGGCTGATCTGCACAGGGACGGCGTAGTCACAGGGCGAGCACTGACCTGCTTTGACCTGATGTGCTCGCGCAAGGGCTCCACACGCCACTTTCCCGAAGCCAAGTCTGGCCCCTGTGGACTCCGTCAAACTTGCCCTCCTGGTTTTACGGCAGACGTGGTCCTCCACAGTGTTTGTAATCTCTCCACCACCCCTTGAAGTGGAGACTTATGCCAGCCTCAGAGCAGCCCCATGGCATCACGGGTCCAGTGCTTTACTCGTTCCGCGAAGTGGCCAGAGGCGTTGGAGCCGCACAGCCTCCTGTGGTTGCCACGCTCCATCAGCCTGTGAAAGACACGGGGCCTCGCACGCCCGGCCGCGCAGGTGCCGCAGGGCGGCGGGACTGCTCAGGACGTGCCTCCTCTAGCCTCTCCCAGGGCGCTTGGGTCACCTCCTATTTAGCACTGACCCAGTTAGGTCTGGGCTTCACTTCCTGCCTCCCACTCCCTACCTCGCTTCTGTCCGTCTGTCTGTTTTTCACGTCCTTTTGCCAAGTGTAAATCTGTGTGTCTGGTTTGTTTCTTTCTCAGTTCATTTACGTTATCGAGACTTCGTATGGAAGTTCATGTTCGCTCTGTGCCAACACTGTCCCCCCGGCTGCGCCGCGCCCGCCCCCGCGCTTGCTGGGCCTGCGCACATCCAGGGGCTCCTGCTTAGGCCTCCAGAAGGGGCCCGTGCTCCGTATACTAAGGTTTTCCGAGAAAAAAATATTTGTGAGGATCTAGTCATTCCTGTTCCAGAAAAATGGAGATGCTTCTGTGTGAGGGTTACGGGAAGGATTGGTTCTGGCCCAAGATGACATCTCTGCCCTCACCCGCCCTGTGTCTGTGGCAGCTGCACCTACCGTCTGCCCGCTGGGCTTCCGGAGAGAATCTAGGTTCCTGCCTCCCGCCAGGGGCTCCCCACCCACCCACGTTCTGGCAGAGGGAGCTGCTGGCAGTTGTTCGAGCAGCCACACTGGTGGGAATTTGAGCTTATTCCTTCTGCTTCCTCCTCTTCCTAACTCCCTCCAGCCAGCCTGCTTGTTGACATTTATTCCTCTTGGTTGCGGGAGGGGAGTGAGACCCGGAAGGAAGGAAGAACCCCTGGGGGTTCCTTGTGGTGATCTGAGATTAAACCGGGTTCACAGTCGAGGCTAGACCAGAACCAAACGCCCGTGACGACTGGACTCAGTGCGTGTGCTTGAGGTGTCCCCCGGTCGCCCCTCCAGAGGTCTCCGGGGCTCCTGTGGAAGAGGGAAAGCCTTGGGCACTCACAGGAAAGTGTCCCGGTGCCGCTGTTAGCGTCATGCTGGTGGCAGAGTGCTGGGGGCCCTGGAAGCGCCCGCTGGCTCGGGGACGCACACCTGCCTGGCAGGTCCCGGGAATGGATAGGGCTCTTCTCCCTCAGCTGTAAGGTCGAACTGCCGTCCTCTGACAGAGACACCCGCCGAATGTGTCCTCAGGACACCTTCTCAGGCCCTCGGTCTCCGCGAGAGTCTGTTTCCCTCTCCAGGCGGAGGCCGCTCCCTTCCCAGCAGGCCAGTGGGAAGCGGAGCCTGGGGGGCCCGCTGTCTGCCTGCATCATCCTGCCCGCTCACGGGTGCTCTGTCGGGAGACCCAGCTGGGAAGCCCCCGTGGCGAGGACAGAGCAGGTCCCCATCGTCACCACCACTCTTGTCATAGTGATGCTGAGAGGGCGCCTGTGTCTGAGCCTAGACGCCTCTGGGGGAGGGTGTTCTGAGATTGTTCTGCAGGGGTCTCGGAGGGAGGGACTCTACGTTCGCAGGTGCCTGTGGCGAGCAGATTGGAATTTTGAGACCATACTTAGTAGTTGTTCCAGGAAATTTGATGGACTGTCACCCGGGTGGCAAGATAGTGGTCAGGGGACCGGTGGTAATTCTGTGAACAGCCCCTGGGGAGGGTAATGATGGGGAAAAACAAAGATAATTTGGGTTTAGTGGTAGGAATACAAATGTTTTAAATGACAGCACTGGGCAGAAGTGGGCATAGCTAATGAAATCTAAGTCCTTAGGAGACCTGAGATTCGAGGGCGTGGGCGACGAGACAGGTGGTCCCGGGAAAGTGACGCTTCGCGGCACCGAGGAAACAGTTTACTTTCTTTCCCGGAGAGAACCCGCAGGAAAGGGGTGCGCAGCGTGGCTCTAGGTGTGCTCCCAAAACCCGCCTCCAGAGGTCTCTTCACTCTCCCGTTTGAGTCCCCAAAGTGGGACGTGAAGGGCAAGCATTTCTGTCTCCCTCCGAGGGCTCGAAACCTCCGAGCTCCGTTGCTTTGGGCTGAAGGGCCGGAGAGAACGGCAGCCGGGCTGGGGAAGTCCTGCCGGCTCCGGGTTTCCCATCTGCGGCCAGGACGCGGGAGCAGCGTCGCGAGGGCTGGCAGGGACCGTGCAGGGAAGGACTCGGGGAGAACAGGCAGAGCCCCCCTTGAGGCCGCCCCGGAGGAAGCGGCGGTCGCCCGGCTAAGGGTCCTAGAACGGCAGGCGGTCTGGTGAGCTGGCAGCGTGCTGCTTTTATTTGTGCGTGTGTGTCTTCTCTCCTGTTCACCATTTGCTTTTGGTCTTTCCTACCAAACAGCCGCAGCTCCGGAGTCCTGCCCCATAAACATTGAGGACTAGGTATGAGATCTACCAAATTACATACACGAACACACAGCTCATCCTGTTTCGGGGTTCCTAGCGTACAGGCAACCCTGCCCTCTCTTCGTCCTGTCACACTGAGGGTGCCACCCTCAGAGGGAAGGAGCACCCCTCGTCCCAGACTCGGGCCCCAGGGACCGAGGCCCACACGTCGGGTTGGGTTGAGAGATGCCTGAGAAGCTCCCTCTTCTACTCCTCTTCCCCGGGTCCACCTCCTCTGACCACCGTTAGAACCTTAGGAGGGATCATGACACGGGGCATTTCTCAGAAATAAGCCGTTTATACCGCTTAATCCTAGTGTTTCTCCATCAGAGGGTTTCGTGCCTCGGACCGGCCTGCCCTGATCCCCCCAGGGTTGGGCGGCCCTGCCCAGGGGGAGCTGGCGTCTCCTGGAGGCGGTCAAGGCGCAGGGTGAGAAGTGGGGTGGCAGTGCAGGCTGCTGGGGGGCCTCTGAGCCCCTGGGCCTCATCAGGCAGGGGCCTGTGAAGGCAGCCTGTGGGGGTTTCCGCGGCTCAGAGGGGCCAGAGGAGGGAAGGCCTTCCCTAACCCCAGGAGAGAGGTCTTGATCCTGCTGGATGGGCCGGCTGGGGACTGGTGGGAGGGTGATCAAGGGGAGACGGAGGGAGAGACGAGGCCTCAGCAAAGCCCCGGGCGCTGGTGGTCGAGCCCTTTCTGCTCACGGTGACCCGGTCAGCCCTGTCCCGTATTGCTTCTTCATTCAGTCGTCACAGCCGTCCTGCGCGTCAGTGCGCAGTGACCGCCCGGCTCACACAGACAGTTAGTCGTGGAGGGGGTGGAGCCCAGCTGCCCTGACCACGGTCCGAGTCCTGGAGTGAACAGTCGGGGTAGCGTGGACTGGGAGCAGAGCATGACGGACAGAGAAGGCAGGCAGGGTCCCAGCACAGGGGTGATCCGTGCTCCGTGTGCAGGAGCTGCAGCAGACGGGGGGAGGGGGTTAGTGGGGGACCCCTGCGGGACCCCAGGGTTCTCAGGTCATGTCTCCTGGAGTTGATGGCACTAGTGCACAGCAAACCTCAGCTGCTTGGGTCAGAAAGAGATGAAGAGCAGCAGGTGTGGGGGATGGGGTGCTGAGGCCGTGGCACCTGCTGGGCAGCCAGTCCCTTCCTGGCCCCACAGCAGTCGCTCTTCTCCCGGGCCGCTTCTTCCTGCTCTGAGGAAAAGCTCAGCTAGCCCCAGGTCCTCCCTCCTTGTCCGCCATGACACGTAGGCCAGCTTCAAAACAAACAAGGTTCAAAGGAGGATCCCAGGTACGTGCACAGAGCCTGAAACATCCTGGTGTCCCTGTCAGTGGGCCGCAGTGGCCGTGACTGTCCCCAGTCCGGTGGCGCCCACTTCTCCCGTGGCCCGCTCACGTGCCGTGGCCCTCGCCGCACAGGAGTTTCAGGTAACCCGCATCCTGCCAGCTTCCATGCCGAGCTCCTGGGCTGCCCCGCTGGAGACACCACCGGACCGGGCCAGAGGTCCGGCTGCTGTAACCTCCCTTTCTCTTCCTCAGGCACCTGGCAGGCGGATGACAACGTTGTCAGTCGTCGGAACGCGCAGCGCCGGCGCCTGTCGTCCGGCAGCCTGGAGGACTCCGAGAACAGGCCCTGCGTGTGGGGTCCTCTGGCCGTCTGAGCGCCCGCCCCCATGCCAGAGCTCCCTCCTGTCCCCGAATTCCATCCTGGCCTCCTGGGCATCCTCATCAGGACACACGGACTGTTACACCCACGTGCAAGTCGGACGTTGAGGTCCTCCTGCTCCCAGCCTCGTCTCCTTCCACCGCCACGATCCCTCCCCCTCAGAAGGGACAGGAAGCCTCCTTTCTCCTTCCTGGCTGGAGCCACTCGATGAACCGCAGCTCATGAGACCCTTGCAGAGACTCTGGAATGTTGCCACTGTCTCTCGATCTTCGGGTGGAGCCAAGGTCCACAGGCTGGCTGTTTCTCGAGCATCTGTTTTCTCCTTAGGGCTAGACCAAGAAGACGTGGAGTCTTAGTAGCTGCATTATAGACACCCACCTGGCAATTTCTGGTCTCTGGGACATCCTAACCAATTTGAAACCTCCAATTTGCGGTAGGGTTGGGCGAGGGGTCCTGTGAGAAGGGGAAGCCACATTGCACTGAGTGGCGTTCCCCTCAAGGACAGGAGGGATGGTGGAACCAACAGGTTGCTTCTGGCAGGCGAGCTAGCCTCCTGTGTCTGTCTGTTTAGGAAGGGGGCTTTGAGTTTGAGAATCCCCCAATGAGTGACCACCCTCAGGAGGGTCTCAGGATCAGGTGCGTTCGTGAAGACGTAGGACTCTATCCTAAGGTGACATTTCAAAAAAACACATTCTTGACCACCTCCCTGTACCAGGCACAGTGTTAGGAGCTGTTTCATCACTATGGCCCTGTCAGGTGGTATTCTTCTCCCTATTTCCCCATCTCCACCCCTTTTTGTTAATAGTTGAAGAAATTGGCTGAGAGGGGTGGTCCAGTGATCCTCCAACTGGTGCCCGGGAGCCACCAAGGAAGTGGTGGGGAGCCCCGGGCTAGGAGCTTGGTGGCTGGAGCCAGGGCCTTCACCCCTGGGAGCCTCCCCAGCCCATGTTTCCGTCCCCTGCCTTCCGAGGCTCCTGAGCCTGGTAGGGGGAGGGGAGGTATTTGCCTTCCATAGGCTCATGAGAGACTTAGAGAGATGGTTTGAATCATGTGCCCACCCTACCTCGGCCCAGCATAAGGCACATAAACAATAGCTTGCAGCAGCCAGGCTAGACCAGACCACAGGCGGTTGGGTGCTTGTCCTCTGTCAACACTAGTACCATGGATTCCACAGAGCTCTTGGATAGATGGTTTATCCACCGGCTTTCGGAAGAGGTGGTTATTCAGTGGAACCCGGGATTGGGAAGCAAAGTTGAATACAACAATTCGTGAGGCTGAGATGTGCAGCCTCAGGCTCTGCCCATCCTGATGGCTTGTCTTAGTATTTGGAATTGTCACCCTAGAAGAGCTTCTCGGCGTCCTTTCTAAGGCCTTAGAGAGAGCCCAATGCCAGGGGATGCTTTGCACCTTCTGTGTGGCTCTTTGCACTGCCAGGCGGGTGGGGACCCTCACACTGTAGTTGTGGCTCACGTTCTGCCCTGGTCACGGGGGAAGCTGGTTCTGACAGATGTGACACGAGCCAAGCCGAGTCTAAGCTTCTGTCTTGAGTTCCCGGCCACCCTCTCTGAAGTCCTACAGTGGGCTCTGCTGGTTCGGGCCTCATTTCATGTCCTTCCTTCCCCCCAGCATTCCTTCAGCCCCCTTCATATTTAAGATCTGAGCAATAACCCCCCCCCCCGATTTCCTTGAAGTTTGAGCCCCAGAAGCACCAGGGAATGGGAGCTTCCCTTAGCCTGGGGTTGTGGCACACAGACCCACCTGCACTCCCAGCAGGCAGTATTCATGGTGTGGTGTTACCTGAGAGGAAGGAGGTGCAGGTAAACAGTAGCCACAGTGGCCAGGAACTCTAAGAGGGAGCCATTATCTTCACCCTTTCATGGGGTCTGGGTCCTCTCCCAGGGAGAGGCCCGGAAAGAAAGATTCTTCTAGGCCTTGGTTCCATAACCAGGACATCTGCACCACAGAATGGCCCCGCAGCCCTTGTTTTTCAGACTCGGCCTGTCCTCTCCCCTCCCTCCTCTTTGTTCTCACGTAGATCTTTAGCAAGCAGAAATATCCCATCCGAAGAGGCTGGTCCTCAGTCAGCCTGATCAGGGAACAGGGCTGCTGCCACCCTACTGCCCCATCCATCATCTGGACACAGTCGTGTTGTAAGCAGGTGACCCAGAGAGAATGGATGGGGCCTGGCTTCTCACAGGAGGGCACAGACGAACTGGAGGCCTGTGAGTCCTTCCTGCCACTCAGGTCTGAGCTCTCTGGCAGCCTCCGGGTGGTGGAGTGATCCCCCACCTCACAGAGCCTTTTTCCATCCCATCAGAGTCCATGCCACCCTGGGGCATCTCTTGGGCACAGACCCACAAACTTTAAGCCATCTCACCTGGAGAGAGTTAACGTCCTGTCCACCTGATCTTGGCACGCTTGTTGTTCACTTTTCTTTAGGATCTGCACACCTGGTGTGTGCAAGGGAGTGTGTGAACTGTTGTGCCATCTGTGTACCCCTCTCACTCCCTGGAGTTACGCTCGTGGGCACACTACAGTGGGGACACCAAGGATGCAATATTTATGGATTGCTGCATGAATCTTAAAACTGAATAAAACGGTTTACAAGGGAAGGTGAGCTGTTGACTGTGTAGTTGGCTTATTTGTGCAAGTTCCTGTCTGCCTTTCTCCAGCAGCTTTAACACTTTTACTCAAGAAAATATGGAAGTGGAGGGGTGGGAGGGGGCAAGGGGTAGGAAAGGACACGCGCCTGCGTGGGAGTGGACGTGCCATCCCCTGGGTCCAGGCTTCCTCCCCCAGCCCCCCAGCTCCTGGGCAGAGGCCTGCGTCAGGGGCCCTCAGCCCCACCCCTGCCCTTAAACCGGAGAACTTCCAACACCGCAGCTCCTCAATAATTGAAGAGCAGGAAAGCTGGTGACGGGAGGGAGGCCAGGGGGAGGGAGGAGAAAGGGCTACAGTCCCGGTCCCTCCGCCCTTAGTCCCTGTCACTCAAAGGTCGATGAAATTAATGGGGCAAATGACCCCGCTCGGAGAACCTGGGCAGTCCGCGGCTCGTCGGAGTGGGCCGCGGCTCCGCTTCCTCGGCTACTGGAGAGGCGGGGGAGCACGTCTTCCCGCGGGCCTCGGGAACGTGGTGCGGAGGCCGCGCTGACCGGGACGGTTACCCTGCGCGCTCTGGTGTGTAAGGTCGGCGTGGGCCGGGGCCGCGGCCCTGAGCGGCAGGTCGGCGGAGCGCCCGCCCCGCCCGCGGCCCCGGAGCCGACGCAGGACAGGACGGGAGAGAGGGGCAGGCCGGAGCCGGACGCGAGGAAGCGCCCCTCGCAGCCCAGAGGAGAGGAAAGGCAGCCCCCGCACACGTCCCGCGTCTGAGCCCGATCTCCGCACTGCCCAGGCTGCAGGCTGCGTCCCGGAGCCGTCGCCGCCTCGGAGCAGCCAGGACGGGAAGGGGCAGGGCAGCAGGAGGGTCGGGCGAGCGGCTCCCTGGGTGCCCGAGGCTCGGCGGGGCCCCAGCCGCGCGCTTCTCGGGCGGGAATGCCAGGAGCGCGGCGGGAGGGGGCGGGGTGGCGCGGGAGCGAGATGCCGAAGGAGGGAGTTCGCGGGGACTTACCGCCGGAGAGAACGGCCGGAGCCCGCGGTCACCTTGGAGACGTGCTGGCCAATGGCAGCGGCGAAAGCTGTTTATGGGGGCGGAGTGTCGCCATGGCAGCGGGAGAAGCCTTCGGAGCGGCTACTTAACGCGGGTCCCGGGCCGCCGGCGCTCAGAGAGGCGCCGTCAGGCGAGGGGGCGACGACGAGGGGTGCTGGTGGGGCCCTGAGCAGAGGGCGGAGAGCCGCGGGGGTAGGGGTAACTTCTTCCAGAACCTTCCTGTGGCCCGGCTGGGCTCTGAGCCAGGTAAGGGTCCGAGAGGTCTGCCGGCTGCGGGAAGGGAGGTGTCAGCCCGCGCTCCCATCCGTCCCGTCCGAAGTGGTGGGCCTGGAGACTGAGCCTTTGGAGTTTGAGGGTGCCTCACGGACCGCCCCCATAATTAGTCCTGTTCCCTTCCTGCCCTGTGATCTTCCTAATATCCCTTTTCGAGGATCAGACGACCTCCTGTGTCCCCCGCCCGTGGGACTGCCCTCCTGGGCCCCCTCGCCCCCTCGCCCCTTTCCCTGTGTTGCAGGGTAGGGGTGTCTGATTTCTCATCATGGGGAGAAGGGGAATAGCCTCGGGCGCCCCTACCCTCGTCCTTTATTTGACTAATAAAGTCTCCTCTCCAACCTCGGAGGGGGAAGAGGAGCGAGGCGGACCCCGCAGCGGTCGGACCTCGGCACTGCTTCTGTTTCCCAGACCTCCCAGCTGCGGGGCGATTTTCGAGGACTCCCCCCCCACACACACACACACACGCCCGCCCCTGGGGTGGGGGAACAGTGCTCAGCTCCCGCTGTGGTCCCCGCAGGCCCCGTATTCGGAGGAGGCGGCCCGGGTCTCGGGATGGAAGCGCGTGTCCCGGAGGCTGTGTAGCCAGAGCCGCGGGAGTCAGCGGGCCGGAGAGGCGGCGGGCCACCCTGGGCCGCCCTGGGCTCTGCCGTGGGTGTTGACCGCCCCCTCGGAGAGTCCCCGCAGACATGGCGGAGAGCTGGCTACGCCTCTCGGGAGCAGGGACGGCGGAGGAGGCCGGGCCGGAGGGCAGCCTGGAGGAGCCCGACGCCCTGGATGACAGCCTGACCAGCCTGCAGTGGCTGCAGGAATTCTCCATCCTCAACGCCAAGGCCCCCGCCCTGCCCCTGGGGGGCACCGACCCCCATGGCTACCACCAGGTGCCAGGCTCGGCCGCGCCAGGGTCACCCCTGGCGGCCGACCCCGCCTGCCTGGGGCAGCCGCACACGCCAGGCAAGCCCACGTCGTCCTGCACATCCCGGAGCTCGCCCTCGGGGCTACAGGCTTCGCCCCCCGACGACGTGGACTACACCACCAACCCCAACGTGAAGCCGCCCTACTCGTATGCCACGCTCATCTGCATGGCCATGCAGGCCAGCAAGGCCACCAAGATCACCCTGTCAGCCATCTACAAATGGATCACAGACAACTTTTGCTACTTCCGCCATGCTGATCCCACCTGGCAGGTAGGGGAGGCGTGGATCTCGGCCACTCCCTCCCAATCCCCAATCCCCTCCTTCCCTCCCTCTCCAATCTTGCGCAGATTGGACTGCTTCACTCAGGTTGGCAGCTCTAGTAGGTAGACGAAGTTCATCCAGGGCCCCAAGGGAGGAAGGACCTCAAGGGAGCCCAGTGCTTGGAAATGCCCCTCATTTGACTTAAAAGGGAGGACGGAGGATGCTCAGAGGGTTTCAGGGTTGAGGATGCTGAGATTCAAGGGGCAAGTATTTGTCACGCACCCAAGAGGCTCAACCCAAAGACCAGGGCCAGACTTTGCTGTGGACACAGCCCCTAGGGGAAGGTGATGGACTGAGGGACACATTTTTGTTCCAAGTCCTAGAATCCCTAGATACTGCGCTGTCCAAGGACAGTTTTTCAGGACCTGACTCAGAAACGGAAGTTGGACCATGGCCCCTGCCAAGCCCTGCATCCTGCCTAGTTGCAGGTGGCGGCTGGAGGGGGGAGGGGTGTTTAGGGTTAGGGTGGGGGTGGACTATGGGGTGTGAAGGCCAGCTGTGTCTCAGTGGAGTGGGGATGGGGTCTTCCTAAAGTTGCTGCCCCAGCCCCCACTCTAGCCCCTCTCCAGTTTCCTGTCTCCACTCCTCCCCCTCTTCTCAGTCAACCTCCCTGGGGGGACAATTACCTGAGCTAGGTGCTTTCCACAGAGGCTGTGCCTCCAGCTCTGGCTTGATGTTCCAAGTCTCCGGAACCTGGCACAGAGCAGCCAAGGGGCCAGGCCGCCATGTAAACATCCCTGCCAAGGGCACTACCCACCCATCTGCCCTGCTGTTCAGACCCCTGATCCCAGGCCCCATCACGGTCTGGATGAGACTACGCAGCCAGGAATGGACAAGGCAGGATGGTCATTTGAGACATTGCCCTGAGTCTCAGGATGAGGGGCTAGTTGGGCACAGAGGCCCTGAGGATACCCAGACTCTTCCCTGGGGCACCCACAGGCAGCAGGCTGCTATCACAGCCCTAAGCTATTCTTCACTTGCTTGCACCCTAACTGGTGCAATGCCATCTGTAGCCTTGGTGAGAAAGCAGAGACCCCCCCACTCTACCCCAAGCCTGCAAAGCTCGGGCTGCAGGAAATGGGCCCCAGGAATGAGCACCATGCTCTTTGCTGGGTAATAATCAACTGAGGCCAAACAGCCTAGGTGAGAGGAGGGCCGTGCAGGGTAAGGGCCCAGGCCAGCAGCTGGCTCAACAAACAGGAAGAGTCATCAGATCCCCCCACACTTCATCCCGACACACACTCCTGTGCCGGCACGCACGTGTGCGCACACACACACACCCTCACACCCTCGGTCGCCGTGCCCCCCACCCCAACCCACTCACTCAACAAACAGAGAGGGCCAGCCAGGCCCAGGCAGAGGGAGCTGGCTGTCCAGGCCCTGGGGGAGCTGAGGCATTTGGCCAGAGGCTGCAAGTGGTGGGGTAAGGGAGGGAGGGCAGGACGGGGTGGCACTGAGAGCCACCCTGTGGCTCAGGGCTCGGATGACTGAGCAGGCAGATATCCTGGCAACAGGGAACAAAAGCCCCCGACAGCACTCCAGGCTCCCGGTGCCCTGTGGCTGGTGTCCCAGAGCCTCCATCCCCCTGCCCCCATCCGAGAGAAGATGGCAGAAGGACAGGCAGAAGCACTAACAGCCGCATCACTGACCCTTCCCACTCACCCAGTCCCCTGTCTCTCCTTCCTCCTTGTGCCCAGAATTCCATCCGCCACAACCTGTCCCTGAACAAGTGCTTCATCAAAGTGCCTCGGGAGAAGGATGAGCCGGGCAAAGGGGGCTTCTGGCGCATCGACCCCCAGTATGCCGAGCGCCTGCTGAGTGGGGCCTTCAAGAAGCGGAGGCTGACCCCGGTCCACATCCACCCAGCCTTTGCCCGCCAGGCCGCGCAGAAGCCCAGCACCACCCCGTGGGCCAGGCCGCTGACCGTGAACACCGAGGCCCAGCAGCTGCTGCGGGAGTTTGAGGAGGCTACCGGGGAGGTGGGTTGGGGTGCGGGCGAGGGCAGGCTAGGGCATAAGCGAAAACAGCCACTGCCCAAGCGGGTGGCCAAGGTCCCTCGACCTCCCAGCACCCTGCTGCTGACCCAGGAGGAGCAGGGCGAGCTGGAACCCCTCAAAGGCAATTTTGACTGGGAGGCGGTCTTCGATGCCGATGCTCTGGGGGGGGAGCTGGGCGCACTGGAGGCCCTGGAGCTGAGCCCGCCACTGAGCCCGGCCTCGCACGGGGACGTGGACCTCACTGTCCATGGCCACCACATCGACTGCCCTGCTACGTGGGGGCCTTCGGTGGAGCAGGCTGCCGACAGCCTGGACTTCGACGAGACCTTCCTGGCCACGTCCTTTCTGCAGCACCCTTGGGACGAGAATGGCAGTGGCTGCCTGCCCCCTGAGCCCCTCTTTGAGGCTGGGGATGCCACCCTCGCTGCCGACCTGCAAGACTGGGCCAGTGTGGGCGCCTTCTTGTAAGAGGCCAGGCCCCATCCCCACCTGCGGACAGCACCCAAGTCAGGGCCCAGACTGCCCCCCAACTCAGGCCCATGGAACCCTGCTGCCCAGACAGGGGCTGGGCCGAGTCTCCTGAGGCTGGCCCCATGAAGCCACACACCCCCCAGTCTGGCTGCCCTCAGATTCCAGCCCAGGAGGCGGAGACTAGGGCTCAGGACCAGAATCGCTGCCTCCCCTCCCAGCCCCCATACACACAGTGTTTCATTGACCTCACCTGCCTTGCCCCAGGGACCAGCTAAGTAGCCCTGCACTGTGAGCGCTGCAGCCTGGGGGGCCCTGGCCAGGTTGGGAAGCAGGAGGACAGGCCCACCCCTGGGCACCTCAGCTTCAAAGTTCTCCCTCTCCCTCTCGCTTGCCTCCCCAGGTCTCTATCCAGAGAAAGTTCCCAGGTATAATGCTAATTAGGTGGCTGCAGATTAACCCCCTGGAGGCCTCTCGCGGCAATGCCTCCCTGGGGCCAGGGCAGGCTGTAGACAAGGTGTAGCTGGGAGGAGGGGTAGAGAGAGGAGACCGAAATGAGGTCCCGATGCCGACGGGGCAGGGAGGTTTTCTAGGCCTCTGGAGTCTTCTCCTGGCCCCATCTGTAAAAGGGGGGCAGAGGGTGGAAATCCCGAATTTTTTAGCCTGACCATAGGCTGAGAGCAGTGAAGAGCTGGGGTTCTGGGGCGTTGGGGGCAGAGGCAGCCAAGCTGCAGGGGGGAGGGGAAGACAGACTAACGTAGCGAGTGTAGCATATAGCTGAGGTTTAACCGGGAGGGATGCCCAGCTTGCTAGAACCACTGGGGCCACGAAGGGAGGCCGAGCCCCTGCCTGCACTTGCGGGAGGGAGGGTCTTGCTCCACCCTGAGCACCCCAGGCTGCATCCCAAATCCATCCTCCTGCCCCATGGGGCAGTTTAACCTTTTTCATGGAAAGTTATTTACAATAAAATTTTTTTGAAAATAAAATTTAAAAAAATTTGAAAATGGACCTGCTTGCAACTTTCTTTGGGAAAAGGTGAGGGCGAAGTTTGGGGGGGAATCTTCTCTTCGTGCTGCAGGGGAGGAGTTCGGGAGGTGGCCACCGAAAGCCTGCAGAGTGCCCCCTGAAACTCCCCACAACCGCTGTGTCCCCAGGGAGGAAGATGGCCAGAGGCCATCTTCGGGGGTCCCCTGCACGGGGTCTCAGTGCCTCCATCTGCACAAGGGGATAACAGCACCCACAGCCACCAGGAGTGCGCGAGAAAACAGGCACAGCTCCCTCGCTGGCCCTGGGCACGCACAAAGGCCGAGCCTGCCCAGGGCCCTGCTCAAGCACCCCCCACCGGGAGGGCCTGCCCGGGCCTGCCTGCCTGGATCCGTAGCCCCTGGCCTGGGCATCCAGCACCTCCTCCCCTCAGTCCTCTCCCGGAGGGGGCAGGGGATGTGGTCAGAGGGCCCCGGCCCAGCGCCCCACCCCCACCCTGGCGTGGGTTCACCCTCCCGGCCCGGGGCAGGCTTGAGCAGGAGGAAGGCCAGGGCAGTCTGTGTGCCCAGACCCTCTGCCCCGCCCACTCACACTGGCAGGTCAGCTCAGTGAGGAACCCCGCCTGCCACGGTTCTGATGGAGAAGCTAAGGCACAGAACACGTGTGTTTGAGTACACGCTTCGGGGGCACATAGACTAACATCGGGATGATGCAGAGATTGGCACGGCCCCTGCGCAAGGGTAACACTCAAATCTGTGAAGCGTTTCATTTTTTAAAAAAAAATTTTTTTCTTTATTGATTTTTAGAGAGAGAAGAAGGGAGAGGGAGAGAGAGACAGAAACATCGATGAGAGAGAACATTGACTGGCCTCCTCCCACATGCTCCTAACTGGGGATCAAGCCCATAACCTGGGCATGTGCCCTGACCGGGAATCTAACCAGCGACCTCTTGGTGCAGGGTCAGTGCTCAACCAGAAGATGTGTGTTTGAGTGATGCACAGTAGCACCTCTCAATCCCCTCACCCCAGCTTTGTCTGGAACCCACCTCTCGGCTCAACCCCACAAAAACACCCTGGAGGCACACAGCTCCTCCCCCCAGCACACACACACACACACACACACACACACACACACACACACACACACACACACACACATACACACACACACTGGCACAAATGGGCACTTCCCGCACAATCCTGCCCAGGCCGCGGACCCCTTTCTCACCCAAGCCCCTTTTCTCTCCCTTCCCTGGAGCTTGGCTGGGGGCCAGCCTGGCATTCCCCGCGCTAACTTGCTTTCACTTGCTAATTATTCCAAACATTTCAGAAGGACGCACACATTGCAGGACCAGCGGGGTTGGGGCCTCACTGAGTCCAGAAGCCAGCTCACCCCCTTCCCACAGCTTGCTGAGGGGCTGCCTCTCTGAGACTCCCCTCATGCCCATGCATCCACCAGCCTAACTCTACTGGAGCCAGCAGTGGGGGAACAAGGAGGTTCCGGCCTTCTCCACCTGCCCCCAGGGTCAGCCTCCAGCCCCGCAAAAGGGGTTCCACCTTGGAGTCTCCCCCACCTCACCCTCTGCCTCGGCTGGGCTGTGCCAGGGGAAGAGGGGCGAGGTCAGGGCCGGAGACCTGCCCCCCCCCCTCCGGGGAGGAAAGCAGAAGCAGTTCTGGCTCATCCCAGCTGCAGAGGGAAATCACCAGGGGCTCCTGAACATCCCCGTGCTCCGGACCAGGCTCTGGGGCTGGGACCCCAGCACTGGCATCGTGTAGGTCCCCAGATGCTACCAAAGCCCGGGGGCTCAGAAGGGGGCTCGAGCACAGGTTTCCGTACGCCCTGAGCGGGCAGCATCGGAAGAGGAAAAGCGTGAGTTTCAGAGCTCGTCCCTCCTATTCATCTCTGCCCTGGTGGCTCTTTTAATGTAATCCCAATAAAAATACACAGTGCAGCCCTGGCCGGTTTGGCTCGGCGGTTAGAGCTTTGGCCTGGGGTCCGGAGAGACCCAGGTTCGGTTCCCGCTAAGGTCACAGACCTCGGTTGCAGTTTGTCCCTGGCCCTGGTTGGGTTGTGTGGGTGGCAGCCACTTGATGTGTCCCTTTCACATCGATGTTTCTCTCTCTCTCTCTTCCTCTCTCTCCCTCTCACTCTATCTGAACAAAAAATGGAAAAAAAAATGTCCTCAGGTGAGGATAAGAGAAAAAAAACACATATTGCTGTAGTGAACAGTACGTTGCAGACATAATGCCCGTTAGCACAAACTGCGTACGCCTATATTTCCGCAGAACAAGGACACTCCTGCGTAACCCTCAGGCCACCGGCACAACCAGGAAATTAACGTTGACCTGGAAATCCGGTCTAACCGCAGACCCCATCCAAAGTTTGCAGATCGCCCCACTGATGCTCTGCCCCAGGCCAGCACCCCAGTCCAGCATCTCGAGTTGCCCGGAGGGGTCCTTGTGGCTTGGAGCCCGTGACTCAAACTCTCTGAGCAGGCTCCTCATCTCCTTTCATCCCCACCTTTGAGGTGAGAAGCCCCTAAACTCCTTCACTCTTGGGTGTTGGGGACAGCCCTTCCCAAAGAAGCCACCTTTCTGTCCCCTAACTGACCACCTTTTCCCCATCCCCCCCCATGCATCCTCGGCCGGGAATGTGATGGGGAGAAGGCAGGAGCTTGGACCTTGGGGGCCTCCCCTCCTGCCCAGAGCACATCCTGTCCCGCTGGACTGGCCACCGCAGGCTCGGTGACTCCAGGGGTGTCTGGAAGGGCTGCCCTGCAGCAGGCCAGGAGCCCGCAGAGCCCAGCTGAGCTCCGCCCACACCCGCTCGCCCACGCACACCAGGCACAGACTCTCCGAAGGAAGAGGGTGAGCGGGAAAGGAGGGTGTGAGGGCGGTGGGGAGAGGTGGTCAGGAGTCAGGGAGGGCACTTCCATCCTGGGCTGAGGCCCAAAGGTAAACAGGTGTATTTGGACTCCCAGCAGGAGGGCGTGGGGCAGGCCTGGGCCTGTCTGGGGCGGAGATGTGGGGGGGCCTACCTTAACAATGGGGTGGAGAGTGGCCCCAGGTCCTGCTGACACACTCTTGTGTAATGATGAGGAGAAAACACAGGTGACAAGGGAGGGGAGGCACCCTGGGGGGCTTGCTGAGGCCACCCATGTGGGGCTGCTCCGACCTGTGTGAGCCAGGAGGCACATGGAAGCCCAGGAGTCACCACCCTCCCGGGGCACATGTGTCTGTCCCACTTGGTGGCTCCAGGTGGGATGGGGACAGGTCAGATTCACCTGAACGGGCATGCTGGGGCCTGCGTCAGGAGCGGGCAGGGACCAGCGACAGGGCACTGTCCCCCAGAAGCCAACCAGCCTGAGCAGGCTGAGCGGAGAGTCAGGGCACACATTAACCAAGGGTGGGGGCGACAGGGCCAAAGGTCTCAATGCCTGACCCCCAGCTCCAGCTCTGAGAGGGCAGGAGGGCAGCCTAGTCTGAGCCCCAGATGCTCTCCCCTTCAAGGATGCAGCTTGCTGAGCCCCCAGGAAAGCAGGAGATTCAGGAACTGGGGGGTGGGGGGCAAGGAGCAGCTGCCTACACACTGCCTGCCCTGCCATGGCCCCCAGGGCCCTTGGAAGCCACAGCCATTGCCCACAGCCCCCCAGCTCTTTGCCCAGGAAATTAAGCTGAGCAGAGAGGTTGCCAAGTGCTCTCACCCCGGCCCAGCCACCCACCAGCTCTGTCAGGGCCCTGGGCCCTGTGCCCCCTCCAGACCACCCTGTCTCCTCCCTGCCTCACTCTGGGCTCCAAGCCTTGACCCCATCCCCACCTGGCATTCCAGTGTCCTCCAACCTGCTGAAAGTGAACTGTGGGGGCCAGGGTAGGTGGGGGACCACCCTGTCTCCTCCCTGCCTCACTCTGGACACCAAGCCTGACCCCATCCCCACCTGGCATTCCCGTGTCCTCCCACCTGCTTAAAGTGAACTGCGGGGGCCAGGGTAGGTGGGGGCCAGAGTGGCCGGAGGAGCGACATTCAGGCCCTGCCCCGGAGTTTTCCGTCCCAGAAGCCCTGGAGTCTGCAGAGAACCTGCCTGTCTTGCTCATTTCTACATTTGCAGCATCGAGCACAGGCCCAGCTTCTGAGCGAATGAATGAACGAACGAACGAACGAAAGAACGAAAGAACGGGCTGGCTGGGCAGATAACAGCCCCGTAGCCTGGGCGGAATTCAGTTGCAGACAGCAAACACGAACGGTTCTCCGGGTTCCTGGGGCCCCGGGCTGCAGAGGTTGGGGAGAGAGCATTCAGGTCAGCAGGATCTCGGAGGAAAGCCCAGGCGGCCCTGTTCTGGACGAGCAAGCAGCCCCTTTGCTGACCCTGTGAGTGTGGCTGCGGTAATAAAAGAGGCCGCAGGGCCTTGCGTGCCAGCCGAAGCTGAGCACACAGGCAGGTGTGAGCCGGGTGAGGAGGGAGGGAGGGGGACATGGGACAAGGAGAAGGGACGGAGGGAGGCAGAAAAGGCCCAGCCTTCCTCATTCTCATCTGCTCCTCTGGGCCCCCAATGCCCTGGGGCCTAGGTCCTGGGAGTGAGGGTCACAGAGGGCCAGGTCTCATGTTCCCTGGGGCTCCCTAGGCTACCTATTTCATGTGCGGGTTTCACTGGAGTGAGTGGGACATTGAGGGTCCCCCAGCCCTGGAAAGAATCTAAGCAGGAGAGAAAGAGAATCACCAAGTAAGCCCAACAACCTCCACGAAGAGGGGGGGGTCACGAAGAGCACCCTGCCCCCACCCTGCTCAGCTCAAGGGCTCTGCCTCCCTCTGGCCCACGGAGCCCTTGTCTGGTGGAGTTTGGGGAGGCGGAAGGACGGCCACTGTGACACCTGGCTCCATGTGGCCGGGACCAGTAAACAGGCCCAAGCCCTCAGTTTGCAGAAGAGGAAACTGAGCCCTGAGGTCTCATCCCTAACTCTGGAGCTGAGTGACCTCGTGACCTGACCGGCTCAGAGCCCAGTATCTGTCCACAGAGAGCAGTCCCTACACTGGGCTTGAACTGTGGCCTCCACCAAACTCCCGGTCCAGCTCACAGACCCCTGCACATGGATGACCCGTGGTGACCCCCACCGGGGCTTGGGAAGGGGAAGTCCAGCCTAGGAGAAGAGACAGGCAGGAGTGACAGCCAAAGAGTTGAAAATTAATCCAGCCTGGAAAAATCGAGCACCGTTCGAAGGAGCAGGCACGTAATAGATACTCGTTGGATTCACAGATGAGTGAATGACCGTATGAATTAGTAAATGAAGTGGAGCCAATTTGGGGAGGGGAGGTGATGACACTGCGGAAGGTCACCCCAGGTTATGCAGTGGAGACACTGGGGCCTTGGGCGAGTGGACACCACAAACCGGAAGGACACAGAGCTGGGCTCAGATGGTCCCAGGGCCACCAAAATGAAGGTAACAGTTAAAGTCCAGAGGTGCACAGACTCTTCCAGAAGAGACAGAGGAGGAGAGGGGAGAGCAAGGACCAAGCCTTGGAAAAGGGCCATTGTTAGGGCTTCTCGCCTCCTCCCCACACAACACCTGCTCCAGGCAGGCCCCACGCCAAGGAGCCTGCCCCGAGAGCCAACAGGCCAGAGTGGGCTCAGGAAGGGAGCCCGCATTTGCCCAGGAGGCTCCAGGGCCTCCCACGTGCATTTCCTTAGCATGGAGGGTAGAACCCAGAATCTGTGAGCAGACAGGCCGCCAGCTCAGAGCTCAGAGTCAGGAGAAAGGAAGGAGAGAGGGGTGGTGGTGAAGA